CCCCCCCCAGACCACCACAAATTCCTTCATTGTTTTTATCATGTCAACTTTACCCACAAATGTAAAAGAAGGACGAGTCTATTTGGTTTACTTTTTATCCAATCCCAGAGACTTGCTCCTCTGGTTTCTCCCACCTCCCTAATCTATCACCAATGGATTTCAATGTAACCCCCTTTCAGCTTGCCCCTAGATTCTGATGTGTAACGTAAGTGATAAAACTGCCATTTTCTAGAGCATTTTCTCAACCAGTTGAGATTCCGTTTCCTGGCAATTGTCAGTTTTGCTCAAATACACTCATTAAAAAAATTTTAACAAACAAAACAGAGTAGCTAAAGGAGCATTTCTGATCATGATTTTGCTAAGAAAAAGACAAACTAAGACAGTCACAGTCATGCTGGTTCTTGAATGAGGCTGCCCAACTCCCAACCATTCTGCCCCACTTACAGCCAAACTCTTGGCAGAGTGTCGACAATCTAGAGCGGCGATGAAAACTGGGGGACAATTCTGCCTCCCAAGGGGCATCTGGCAATGCCTGGAGACATTTCTGGTTGCCACAACTGAGGGGTTGGCTGCGACTGGCATCTAGTGGGTAGAGGCCAGGGATGCTTCTAAATCTCTACAACCTACAGGAGGGCGCCTCACAACAAAATCACCTGGCCCACTCAGCTGGCGTGGCTCAGCGGTTGAGAGTTGACCTATGAACCAGGAGGTCACGGTTCAATTCCCAGTCAGGGCACAGGCCTGGGTTGCGGCCGCGATCCCCAGTAGGGGGCCTCCCAGGTCTCTCTCTCTCTCTCTCTCTCTCTCTCTCTCTCTCTCTCTCTAAACAGAATGAGACTTTTGTTTTTATTACTCTAAAGGCTTCATTTTTAAATTTATTTAGCTTTCTGACTCTGTGCTTGTGCCTTCAACACTTTCACAACTATTTTCTGCTCCTCAGTAAGGAAAGCACGCGTGATCCTGTCACAGACACACTTAGCACACAGGGACCCACCAGAGGCCCTGCTGACACGCTTCTTCGTTTTAGACAAGCTCATTAGAACTTCAGGTCTCACAGCACGAACTCCGCGAAGTCGGCCTGGGCACACGCCACGTGGAGATGTCGGTGCTTTCCTAACCTTCTTGGTATCGAGGCCAACAATTCTATTGCCAGGGGTTCGGGACAGCCTAGTGTTGTTAAAGGCTGCATTGTAGGACAGCCTCCGACGGTATGCCAAACGCTGGGCCACGGAGAATGGCCGAAGTCACCATCCCCAGAAGAGGAAAAGGAAAGCGCTTGCGAGTTCCGCATCACTGATGTTTCTGTCTCTCTCCCCCTCTCCCTTCCCCTCTGAAAGCAATAAAAACATATAAAAAAAAATCTAGCCCCAAGGTTGAGGTTGCAGAAACATGGTTGAGAGAACGGAGCCCCCGCCAGCAGCACTACCAGGCACATGGAACAGGCTTGTAGGGGGTGCTGGGCTGGTGACCCGGACTTACAACTCCTTCCTTAAAATCTGACACTGGGGCTTCCACCAGAGCCAAAGGGGCTTATGAGGCTCCTGGGGGCTCAGGCCGCCCTACAGGACACAGCCCAAGAGGAGGCCAAAAAGGCTGTAAGGCTGCGCTGAAGAGGCGAGTCTCCACAGAAATGTATAATTAGAACAGAGCCCGGCTAGCAGGGAGAGCCTTCTGGCCAAAAATGGCAAAAGTGCGAAGTGTCCCAGCAGAGCCAGGCCAAGCCCACTGGTACAGTCATCCCCCCAAGCTCTCCCTCCTCCCCGCCAGCTCCCTGAGCTATCACCACCTCCTCCCGCCCCACGGCCTGGTCCTCCCCTGCTGGCACTGGAATTCATCTCCCCACTTGAGAATTCTTCCTGAGGCTGAAGCATCTGAAGTTGATCAGCAAACAATGGCCTCTCCTGAGTTGAGAATTTGTGAGGAAGCTGCGCTCCCGCCTCTCCAGAGGCAGCCGGAGCTGCCACATGTGCCAGATAAGCTACAGGCAGGATGATCAAAACCAGGTTGTACGGACATCACCCTCTGAGCAAACTAGGGACTGGGGGAGGAGCCGGGCGGGAAAGGCAGGCCAAACAAGCGCCCAGAGCTGTGGTGTGGGAGGAATCTGCTGTGTCACAGAAAGGAGCTGCCAGGGCTTCCACACAGGGCTTGGGGCTGTGAGGTGTGGCTGAGAATGGTCCTCGGTCCTCGGGCCTGAGGAGCCCATCGGGGCTGGCCAGGGTGGGCCAGGCTGAAGGCTGAAGTCTCGCAGAAAGGTTCCTGGCTGGATTACTAACCCTTTGGGACAGAAACCATGTTTCTCCATCTCTGGGTCACCCCCAGGATGCTTTGTACACAGTAGAAATTATCAAAGGAAAGAAAAGGGGCAGGGACAACCCTTGGGCATGCCTGCAAATACATGGGAGGGCAAAGGAAAGGTATTTGGGGTGATGGAGATGGAGGCTCATACGTGCTTTGGAAAAAATCCGGTCTGCAAGTGTTGAATTTTTAGCTTTTTGTATCACCCACAAAATGCACCCGAGTCCAGCTCTACAGAGTGTGTGTCCAGACAAGAGCTCTCTGATCTTCCCCAAAGACTCTTCAAGTAGACACAGTGCCTGGTCCCCTAAGATGGCTACGATTCACCCTTGAACGACAGGGTCCCCGTCTCACCTGGCATCAGCTTCACTGTAGTATTCTCTGGCCACGATGTCTTCAAACAGCTCTCCGCCAGTAACGCTGCAACCAACAGACAAAGAGGATCAGAGGAGGCAGGTTGGTCAACCAACCCTAGCACCCAACAGGTAGCGAGTCACACTGTAGAACAGCTTTTTTTTTTTTTTTTTTTTTTTTTTTAATAGATTTTATTGATTTTTCACAGAGAGGAAGGGAGAGAGATAGAGAGTTAGAAACTTCGATGAGAGAGAAACATCGACCAGCTGCCTCCTGCACATCTCCCACTGGGGATGTGCCCACAACCCAGGCACATGCCCTTGACCGGAATCGAACCTGGGACCTTTTAGTCCGCAGGCCGACGCTCTATCCACTGAGCCAAACCGGTTTCGGCAAGAACAGCTTTTAAAGAAGCCCTAACTCTGTATGTGCGTTTCATCCGAGAGCCCAGAACACACCCAACCCTTCGATGACATGGGGCTCTCCTCGGGGTACCATGGGCCTTCCCTTCCTCCTGCACATTTGCTTTCATAACCTACAGATATAGCTAATCCTCTGGCAAAGATGACTCTACCGGGATCGAGGAGAAAATAATTGACCTACTCAGAAAGGCATCGTTTTGAGACCAACATAAACACTAAGATGCAGTTGCCCAAAAAGAACAGACCTACTCCGTGAAGCTGAAGAATGATGAGACTAAGGACAGAGAACCCAACTCTGGAAATACCAAAGAGGCACTTCCGGAGGTGAAGAGCCGCTCTTAAGATATTAAACTACAACCAAGTGGAGGAGAGACCAATTAGAGCCCCGTTTACCACTAACAAAAGCTACCTACGAATTCTCAGAATTTCTCAGGTCATGCAAAGAGCTGTATTCTATTTCTCCACGAAGGACCACACACCGAGAAACAAGAAAAAAGCATCTGCACGAGACGAGCTGCTGAACAGAAATGCGACAGCAATGGCCGTTCTGGGGCTCGGAGCCCGGGAGACCCCGAGCGACCAGAGGGAGCTCAAAATCAAATTCTTCCCTTTGGGCAGGGCTGAGGCCTGGCTCAGGCCTTTCCCGAGCCTTCCTGGCGAACTAGCTGAAGGAAAGGCCCCGCATCCTCAGAAAGTGCACTTACAGGTCGAACACGAGGTAGTGAAACCCTTCTTCAGAAATGCTGTCGTGGAGGCGCACTGCAAGAGAGGAGACGGGACAGACATTAACAGAGGGAACCTGCAGATCCCATTCCTTCCTCCCCAGGAACCCCGCGCCGCTGCCCCTCCTGCCAGCCTCGCAGGGCTCTCTCCGGAAGGAGCGCCGCATGCCCAGTGCTCCCCCATCCAAGGTGATGCAGTCTCGGTGCAGAGACACCCAGGCCCCATGTTCAGCGCCCTGGTCACCACCTCAGACAAGCTTCGCAGCTAAGAAGACGCAACTAAGAAGACGGAGAAAAGCAGGGACCGTTGGAGGGGCTGGTCCGAGAGAAGCTGGGCCAGGGATAGGATGAGTGACAGCGTGATGCTCAGTGAGGGGCACCGGGCTTACCGAGGGGGGCAGGTGGTGCAGAGAATGGCAAGATGGGAGAGCCCAGAGCCCTTTCAGAGGAGTCAAGGGAGAAGTGGGAGAGGGAGAGCCCAGCAGGAAGGCATGTGGAGCGAAGATGATGATGGTGAGCATGGGAGGCAATCGCAAAGGCAACAAAAACCATTACATTAAGTGCTGATTATGCGCAGGCCTCCTGTAAGCCCTTGGCATACACCACTTATGCTACAGGCATTTACTGAGTGCCTACTATGTGCCAGACCCTGTGCTAGGGGGTTTAGGTTTAGGAAGGACAGCGTGCCTGCCTTCAAGGAACTTATTATTTCTGATGACCTCGGTAAGATGAGTATTACTCCTATTCTACAGATGAGGACACAGGAGGTTCAGGAACATGTAACAACACGAGGTCGGGGCTTGAGCCTGCAACCAAGGTATGTACCCTGGACTGGAATCGAACCTAGGACCCTTCAGTCCACAAGCTGATGCTCTATCCACTGAGCCAGACTGGCTAGGGCAGGAACATACAATATCTTGCCAAAGGCCAAAGATATGGTGGGTTAAGACGTGAATCCAGCTCTACCTGTCTCCTTAGACCCGTCTACACCACTGTTTCCTATAAGACAGGCGGAGTGGTCCACACACCCAGGGAACAAAATAATGGAGCCCGGGAGAGAGACCATTCACGTATGTACTTACAACAGCAACGACGGGTCTGGGCGGCCATTGCGTGGAGCCGACTATGGCAACCCACCAATTGCAAGAGAAGGCTGGTGAGCAGAGTCCCTTCCCACTCCCCGCCTCCAGAGCTCTTGGGCAGAAAACCAACCTAATGTCTGAGTTCTCTACAAGCTTCTGCCCACAGAGCCACCCTCTGGGTTAAATGCCAAGCTCCGAGCATCATTCTAAGGCAAACACAGCTCCATGCTTTGGCTGCCGGTCTGGCTGTTCCTGTCCCTTCCCTCACCTGAACTCTCTGGATGGGAAACCTCTGTTCCAAAGAGTTCCCTCTGCCTGACCTTCGCTCCAACCCTCGGCAGTGTCAGGAGCACCTCACAGAGCACTTCAGGAATGGCCCCACACCGAGCCAACCAGCGAAGTTCTCGGACCCAGAAAAACCACCTTTTCTCTTCCCCAAATGACAGCTTCCATTTCTGGTGTCAGAGCCGTTTATCAGGGCTGAGGTGCCTCCCTACATCCCCTCCCCACCGAAGCGGGACCAGCCAGAACCTAAAACCCAGGCACTAAGCCATCACTAGGGCGCCATGGCTCCCCTCGCCTGACACACCAGGGCTCGGGCCTGCCAGGTCTGAACCAGGGCCTAAGGACTGTTTACACTTCTTACTGCTTACCTTATTTGATCGGGTCTGGTTACTCAACCCCAAATTCCACCCCAAACTCAGTATTTCTGTGATTTGCCACTGGGACCAGAGGCAGCAGTACTTCCCAACCGTTCTCTCCGGTCCTTGGGCAAACAGGAGCCCGCCTCTCTAGCCCGCAGGTGACAGAAGGAAGGGGCGCAGCCAGGCGCGGGTGCCTCCCCGCCCCACTCACCCAGGCGCTCACGCGAGCCCCCAAGCCCTGGCGCCGCCTCCTCACTGCGCTCCTCTGGGCTCAGTCAGTGCTGCGTGCTGGGTCCTGCTGCAGCTGCTGCTCCCTCGCTTCCAAAAGGACTTTCCATTTAATTAGAAATTTGCTATTAAAAAGCATTAAAGTGTGTAATACAAATAATCCCCTGGAAATCAGCTGTCCCAGAAGCCAAAAACCAGCTTTGTTAGGGAGGTGACTAACCGCAGCTGGATGGCGAGCTCACAGGACAGCAGGCTCCGTGCTGACCACCGCGCCCGGGAGTCCTGCCGCCCAGCCAGCCGGCCCGGACCCTCCCCCCACCGCACCCCCAGCACAGCACAACACAGCAGGGCTGAGAGCAGGGCGGGCACCCGGGCCTATGCCCAGACAAGGAGTCACTGGCACCTGCCCTTCTCCGTGAGGCCACACACAGAGCCCAGGTGGGAGGAAGGAGAGGCCGCAGCGGAAGACTCCCCCTCCCAGGCCACCCGCCCAGAGAAGGGCTCCGGCGCGGGTGCCGGCAGGTGTGGAAGGCCCGTGTCTGAACGAGACTGCTATTGTTTTTGGTGTTTGGTTTCCATTTGTAAAGAAAATTAAAAGGGAAATGAGAACAAGGGGAGAAACGCGACTGCACCTCTCTAAGTGCCCACAGAGCGGATTCCTCCTAATGATCCAAATGATAATAACCGACACGTGAGCTGCTTTGATGCCTGGGCACTGTGCCACGTGCTTTACCCCGGGGTTTTATTGACCTCTCACACTAACTCTGGGGGACAGGAGCTTCTGCTCACCCCCATCCAACAGGAGAGGAAACTGAGGCTCCAAAGAAACCCCCTCCAGGTCATGCCAAGTGGCAGAACTGAGACTCGAAGCCAAAACCAACGGGCATCAGACCCTTGATATTGTCACCTTCTCCATCCTCTTAGGCACAGGAGCTCCAACCCGTCCCCACTAGCCCTGGCCGCTCTGATTCACTCATCAGCGTCCATTCGGCACCTTTTCTGAAGCAGGCGTGGCCGTCCATGCCACGGATCCAGCTGTGAAGACAAGAAACCTGGCCCTGCCACCTCGAGCTTCCGGGGGAGAGAGGAAGACAGCCTTTAAACCAGCACTTACCCCAGAATGGAACTGAGCACGATGGCGCGGAGGGCCATGAGGCAGAAGGAAAGTGCGTGCAATGAAATAACCCGACACCCCGCCCATCCACAGTGGCGAGAGGGCAGGAAGGCCCAGGAGGGCCAGACACGTAAACAGACAAGAAGAGCGGGGAAAGGACTGTAGTGTTCATGACACTTAGTGATAAGCCTAATTATTGCTCTTTACAAATGGTGGAAGGAAGAACAGGCCAAAAACCACTCAGATACTCTTACTTGATATGTTTCATATCTTCAAGGACTGACAAAGCCACAACCCAAATATTGCGGCTATTTCCAATTCTTTAAAAACCACCCAACTGCCCTGGCTTGTGTGTCCAGTGGTTGGAGTCGGCCCACACACCGAAGGGTCCCAGGTTCGATTCCCAGTGAAGGGCACGTGCCTGGGTTGTATGTTGAATCCCAGATCCCTGCCCCCCCCCGCCCCGCCCTGGGGCTGGGCTGTGTGTGGGAGGCAACCATTGGCTAAGTCTCTTTCACATCAATGTTTCTCTCCTTCCCTCCCAGCCTCTCTTCCACTCTCTCTAAAAATCAATGGAAACAATATTCTCAGGTGAGAATTAACAAAAAACAAATACAAAAAAGACACACCCAACAATATGCCATATTTTAACTAACAAACCGTGGTCAGAAAGTACTGGAAAAGTGTCACTTTTTTTTTTTAAATATATTTTATTGATTTTTTACACAGAAGAAGGGAGAGAGATAGAGAGTTAGAAACATCGATGAGAGAGAAACATCAATCAGCTGCCTCCTGCACATCTCCCACGGGAGATGTGCCCGCAACCCAGGTACATGCCCTTAACCGAAATCAAACCTGGTACCCCCCAGTCCACAGGCCGATGCTCCATCCTCCGAGCCAAACCGGTTTTGGCGAAAAGTGTCACTCTTAACGCCCACAGCAAGAAACACAGTCGGAAGGAGGTCATGTGGCTGGGGGCTCAGGGGGAGCCTGAGGCTGCCCCCAGGAGTGGTGGGTAGGGATTCAGAGCTGTTCAGTCACGATTCAACGTTTCCTTCATTTTCTTTGCTACTATTTTTGCTGCACTTACTGGTAGCTGCATGGGCCCTGCGCCCAAGGCAGCCGGGCTTAAATACCTTGCGAACCAAGTTGGGGCTGGAGTCTGGGAGAGATCACTCCTGGCAGTTAGAATGTGTTTTCATCCCCATTTATTTCCTAGGCCTCCTTTGCTCGCCGAACCCTCCCAACTCCACAAAGAGGCACGAATGACAACACGGAGGCACAGGCGGGCTGAAAAATGTGCCGAAAAACATCACAGCTACTAACCAGCAAATCCCCCATTCAAACCCGGACTTAACGCCAAAGCCACAGACCTTTGCGTTTCCATGGAGATGGTCCACAGACCGGCACCGTGAGCATCACCTGGAAACAAGGAAGCTCGGGGCCACCCCAGACCTCCTGAATCAGATCTGATTTTCACAGGATCCCTAGGAGACCCACGGGCACAAAGAAGTTTGAGAAGTGCTGCTCTAAACCACGGGGTTGGGCTGGGAGGGACACGGCTGGGGCCGCTCAGCACGAAGGAGGACGGAGTCTATTCATCAGAGGAATTTGGAGCAGGGAGCAGGCAGATCATAGGCGGAACACACTCCATTCAAACTAGCCGGTTAGCACTCCTGCGGTCTCCCCGTCTCAACTCCACACCCCCGGCCACTCTCCTGGGGCTGGTGTTGGTTCTGCAGTACACCTCATCACCAATAGGCTTAAAAAAAAAATAACAGACTATTTTTTAGAGCGATTGGGTTCACAGCAAAACCAAGCAGACCGCACACAGGGCTCCCACATACCCTCTGTCCCCACATATGCACAGCCTCCCCCACTCTCCACATCCCCCACCAGAGTGGCACATTCGTTATAACTGATGAACCTGCAATGACACGCCATGATCAGCCAGAGTCCATAGTCTACATTAGGGTTCCCTCTTCCAAGAGGCTTTTAACTCCTGGGACAGAACAGATGAAGTTGGGGCGGCCTCGCTCCCCGCACCAAGTCCCCTTCCGAGTCAGTTTGACCCTGAGCTCTGTGCTCTCAGCTGCCTCAACTCTGCACCACTCTCGGCTGGTCCACTTGTGTCCCTGCGGGATGGGGTTAAAGAGGCTGGAGCCAAAAGGGCCACAGCTCTGAAGGATGGAGCCGTGGAGAGACGAGAGGAATAGTGAACGAGGGGGACAAAACTGCCTCCTCTCCTGCCACAAGCCAGGTCAGAATCCATGGCAACCCCGGCCTCCTGGGCCCACAGCTCTGCCACATCTCCAGGAGGCCTAGTTCCCACCGGAAGCCGGACAGCCTGGCCAGCCAGCTCTCCCAGGACACAGTGCTGGCTCACCCTTTCTTCCCCCTGCCCTTGACCCCAGAATAGGGCCTCAGACCAACATCCCTCAGGACCTGGGAGCAGTCATGAAATGCAAGCACAGTTCTAGGCAACCAGCTGCTAACGGAGTGAGTATGGCTCGCCCGGCCTTTCCTGGGGCCTGCTGTCTCCCTACAGGCAGATGGAGAGGGTAGATGGTCTCTCCATCTGCCTTAATTCTGACTTGGGGGCAGGTGGTACATAGCTCATAGCTATCAAACCAAGTAGAGTCTAAAAGGTCAAAAAGTATACATCTAAATTTCTAGGAATACATTTTTTAAAAGGTTAGAATTTTTTTTCAACTAGAATCCCATTTTTTTAAAATTTATTTTATTTCAGAGAGGAAAGGATAGGGAGAAGTAGAAATATCAATGATGAGAATCATTGACTGCAATCAGGGCGTGTACCCTGCCCTGACCGGGGATCGAACTGTGACCTCCTGGCTCATAGGTTGATGCTCAACCACTGAGCCACACCAGCTGGGTTAGATTCCTCCGCGGTTGTTTCTCGGGTGTCTTCGCCCTGCCCCGAATATGTGGTCAACCACGCCTGTGCCGCGGTGCTGCAGGCCTGGCCCTGCCTCCTGCCTCATCTCCCCCTCCCCTTGTTCTCCTTCCTCCTGAGGGCGATTGGTCACTGTTCTACGAATTGGTCACTAGGAGCATCAGGAGAGGAAGTTGCTGTGCACAGACCCCGAGGCCCGGAATTAGAACACCAGAGTGCTCTGTGCTTGTGCGTGGCTTTAGTTACCCACGGGCCTTTTCTTCCTGTTCTAGAACTTCTAGGGCAGAGGTCACAAGCTCACAACGCCCACAGGCCCCACAGGTGGTGCCCCGGCAGATAACAGGGAGTGGCAAGGCCGGCGGCCAGTGGGCGAGGGGGCCACCACTGCCCAGCCCCCCAACTGACTCTGAGCACGCACAGAAGTGGGCTCAGCAGAACCCAGCCTCCTGATCTGAAAGACTAGGAAACAGAATTCTTCCAAGATGAAAAATCTCATGCTTAAATACTGACTGACAAATAATAAAACATGTTTTTAGACCACGGAGCCAGCCCAACCAAAACACGCCTGGGTCTGTGACTGCTGTTCCAGGGGTGTGTCTGCACCGTCTGTTCTCAGGTGTGAGCCTACCTTCGAGGTCGCCCAGGAGCCCCGGCCGCTCCCCGCCCAGGACCTGCCGGCTGAGAGGTGTTGGCTCGGTGCAGCACCCTGCGCCAGGCAGAGCGGAGCGCGGGCCATGCCAATCTGCTCGGGTGTAACCCAAGCTGCCGATTGTGATCTATAAAGCCCTGCACGGCCGGGGTTCTGGTTACCTCGGAGCAGCTCCTCTCCCCTTGGGCGGGAGGACGACCTCGGCTCTCCCACGCAATAGCTCACGTGAAGCACTCTGGCCCCAGATCTGGGGAGCCAGAGGCTGAGGAAGCATCACGCTTTGGCAGGTCGCCTCACGGGCCTGGCCAGGGCAGAGGGGAGCGGGTGGCCTCCGGGGCGCTGTGGGGGCCCTCGATATTTAGGCTGCGCCCGAGGAGCACGGAACACATGCTTTGTGTGATGACTCAGGGCTTTCGGGGAGAACCTGGGAGATGCTTCCCGCTCTGCCTCAAGCCAAGACTGGGGTTTCTGCTCCGACGCTGCAGCCGGCCCCGCTTCTGTCCTCCCTGCGAGAAGCGCCCGATCGGGGCCAAGGCTCTTGGCAGAGACTGTTTCAGCTGAACAATGTAAAACTGAGCCGGAGTGGGTTGTGGCAGGCAAACCTCCTCAGGCTTTAGAACAACCAACAATGTGCTCTTGTCCCCCCAGTCAGGGTGGGAGCAGGGAGAAGTCCTCTGCGTTTTTCTCCTTCCCCATCCAAGTGGCTCCTGCCACCCCTTCTCCAGACAAGCCAGGCGGGTGGGCAGCTCGCTTCCCTGGCTCTGGGGAACACAAACAGGAGCGCCATGGAAACCCCCAGAGCGCGCACGACACCGCCACAGGAACTCCTCCAAGTCCAGACACAAAATCCGGACCCGTTCCTGACGGCCGCGGAGGGCCCCGGTGAGGGACACCAGCCCGGAGCCTCACACACCGAGGACGTTGGGCCTCAGCCCCAAGTCAGAAGGAGGAGGGAAGAAGCGGGGTGTGAAGCCTGTTCTGACATCGCCCATCCCAGCCCCGAGATGGCACCGCAGGCATGAAGACACCCAGGCCTCAAAACTAGAACGCCCCAGAATTCTGAGCAAGACGCAGCTGCTTTCCCGCTTGGGAAAAACAAGACACCGGGCAGGCCAAGGCCCAGGGTCCGAAGTAGTTCCATATACAAAAGGCAGCGAGCCTCCGTTCTCCAGCCCCTGCTACAAAACGCCCCCAAAATACAGTACTCGTCTACAAGTGCACTTACCGATGTTTGGATGTTTCAAAAGTCGGCATATCCGGGCCTCACGTTCTAGTTTCTGGTGATCTAAAAGCAGAGGAGAAAAACCAAAAACCATCAACCACACGTTCTATTTGTAGCCCCCTGGCTATTCATACTCGTTCAATTCTTAGGCACCAACTATGCACTTTTACACTTTGCTGAATTAATGCAGCAAGTCACAGCAATCCCGGAGACAGGCATTATGACCACCTGCTCCAGGTGAGGAAATGGCTTAGGAAAGCACCGCCCACTGGAGAGTGATTTGAATCCAGGTTTTCAACTAAGCTCTGGGACTCCTTCCACTACTGCAGGGCTTTCATCAGGCGGGGGTGTCCAAAACCTCTTTCTTGTTAGAGATACTACTAATACCTAAGTTTTATTGAGCACCTACTATCTGACCAGGCACTGTGCTAGGAGCTGCATGTATTTCCTACTTTAGTCTTCAAAGCAACCCTAAAGCATAATGGTGCTGACAACGAAGGTGATGATGATTTGAAAAAATTAAGAGGCAACATTTATTGAGAGCTCACGTCTACACCAGGCAGATATAGCTTTTTTATTTTTAATCTTCACCCAAGGATAAGTTTTTATTGATTTTTTACAGAGAGAAGGGAGGAAGGGGAGAGAGAGAGAAACATCAATGTGAGAAACCTTGATCGATGGCCTCCCACACGTGTCCCGACTGGGGATCAAACCTATACAACTCAGGCATGTGTCCTGACCAGAAATCGAACCTGCAACCTTTCCATACATGGGATGATGCTCTAACCAACTAAGCCACACTGGCCAGAGCTGGCAGATACATCTTCTTAAAAATATATATATTTTTATTGATTTCAGAGAGGAAGGGAGAGGGAGAGATAGATCGATTGGCTGTCTCCTGCACACACCCTACTAGGGATCAAGCCTGCAACCTGGGCATGTGCCCTGATCAGGAATCGAACCTGGGACCTCTTGGTCCATGGGATGACACTCAATCCCCTGAGCCACACCAGCCAGGCTCTTTTGATTGATTGATTGATTGATTTTCGAGAGAGATCGAGGAAAGAGAAACATTTACCTGTTGTTCTGCTTATCTATGCTTTCATTGGTTGCTTCTTGACTGTACCCTGACTGGGGATCGAACCCACAACCTTGGTGTATCAGGATGACACTCTAACCAACTGAGCTATCCAGCTAGGGCAAAGGGGTAGGACCTTTCTGAGTGGTGCTTTCTGGGGAGTTCCTACCACAACAGGGGCTTAATAAGTGTTTATCAGTAACATCAACTCTAGTAGTAATCACTATTATTTGCTAAGCATTTACCATACGCCAGGCAGAGGCATGGACTATCTCATTTTATCTTTACAAAAACCCTGTGAGGCAGGGGACCTGATTAGCTCCATGACACTACAGATGAGGAAACTGAAGCTTAAACAGTTAAAGTAACTCCCCAAGGTCACAGGGGCAGTGGGTCTGAGCCCTCTTTCTCCATCGCTATGCTATGGCGACAGGATAAAGAAAAGTGAGGGCATCAAGTAAAAACTCCAGGCTTTGGGGAACACAGTCCAGGTCACCCCAACATCTCTTGGGCCAGGCAGACGCCTTCACGTCACACCTGTCAAGCGACTGCTGCCTCCCTTGCCAGGGGCTTCCACCCATCCACCTCTATTAAACAGCAAAGAGCCCCTGTAAGGCCTCCCGGACCCTTACTACCCTCCTACTGGTGAGGGGCTACGGTGATGAAACTGAAGCCCAGAGAAGTTAAATAACTCACCTGAGGTCCTATAGCCCAGGAGACAATGTATTCTGAGATAAGGTAGGGATTTTAGACTAGAAGGAATTCATATGTATTGTTTCACCAACCACCCCCAGCTTTGTGCAAAATGTTCCCTGTAACGACAGCTCTGCTCTGTGGAAGGAGGAGGTAGGGACAGGCAGAGATTAGTTCCTGCTGCCCAGCTAATCCATCCCAGCTGCCCAAAGATCTGGGTCAGGCCTTCCTTCCCATCCTCGGGTTCGGCATGAACACTGACCAGGCTGTAGCCAGGAGAACCCCAGGTAACCCCCTGCTCCCACATCGCCCGGATCCCTCCGTCCCGGGGACCCTCAGAAGGTGAGGTCGTCAAGGAAACAGCGATTAGCCCTGCCTGGTGCAGGGGTGCTTGTTTCTTCCAGATCTGGCTGGGAGAATGTCAGAGCTAACCCACCTTCCTCCTGCACCCCTGGACCTGGGTTTGGAGGTCCCAAGCCAGCCGGCCCCAAAGCTGCAGACCTACCAGCTCTCTTTCTGACCACTCACCTGACCACCCTCCAACCCCCAACCCCTGGGCTTGGTTGCCTGGGCAGGTGCAGAAGAGCATCTTACTATGCGGAGGTGGCAGCTGAGGGGAGGCCCGGAAGATTAATGTTTATCTCCTCCCTTAAGTCTCTTACTGGCTAACGGTTACAGTCCCACAACAGCAACAGCACTAAAAATAAGGACGCTCTGGCTTGCTCATGACCCAGAGTGGGCAGAGCAGCGAGGCAGATTCCTGCGCCCAGCTCCTCGAAGGAGCTGCCCAGGGTCCAGAGGGCCCCTCTTAGTCACTTGGTTTGTCCCGAACGCCAAGGAGCCAGGCCCACCCCCCCCCCATTCTGGGGGAAGCCTGTGTCTTCTCTCAACCCTGGGCTGAGCCTTGGTCCTTGCTCTGATCCTTGGCCATGGAATCCTGCCACTAACTCATCAGGTTCGGAGTCCAACAGCCCCAGATCGCGTCCCAGCGGTGCCATGCCAGGCGAGTTACTGACCCACCTGAGCCCCATTCATTCATTCAAAAAATATGCACGGAGGCCTGCTCTGTGACAGGCGCTGTTCTAGATGTTGGGGATACGGCCGTGAACAAAACAGACGAAAACCTGTGCCCTCATAGAGCTGATACTCGAGTGGGGCTGGGTCGGAGGGAGGGACAGACAAGAAGTGGATGGCACGGCCGACGTTGTGGCAAGTGCTATGTAGAAAAATAAAAGCGGGAAGGGGAGAATGAGAGGGCAGCCAGGGAAAGCTTCAGCAAGGAGGCGGCATTTGATGAGGACCAAAGGAGTGAGAGCACATTATTTTGTGCTAAAATGGAGGTGACAGCCCTGGCCAGTTTGGCTCAGTGGATAGAGCATCGGCCTGCAGACTGGAAGGGTCCCGGGTTTGATTCCCGTCAAGGGCACGTACCTTGGTTGCAGGCTTCATCCTGGCCCTGGAGGCAACCAATCGATGTGTCTCACATCAATACTTTTCTCTCTGTGTCTCTCCCCGTCCCTTCCACTCTCTAAAAAAATCAATGGAAAAATATCCTCAGGTGAGGACTAAAAACAGTAATAACAGCAACAACAAAAATAATAAAATGGAGGAGATGCCTGGCCAGTGTGGCTCAGTGGTTGAGCATCGACCTCGACTTAAGAACCAAGAGATCACGGTTCCATTCCCGGTCAAGGCACATGTCCAGGTTGCAGGCTTGATCCCCAGTGGAGGGTGTGTAGGAAGCAGCTGATCAATGATTCTCTCTCATCATTGATGTTTCTCTCTCTCTCTCTCTCTCCCCTTCTCCCTTCCTCTCTGAAATCAATAAAAGTATATTACAAAAATAAAAGTAAAATAAAACAGAGGTGAATTAAATGAGGTCACTGAGTAAGTGCTCGGCACGTGCTGGGCACACACAGAGAGCCTCCCTCCCAAGGTGATAAGATAGGAAGGCCCCTCGGACAGGGCTTGGTGGCCACGGCTAGGACCAGAGACACTGAGAGAGTGACTCTCCCTTAGGCACCAGGCACACAGCACACCACCTGAGCCCTCTGATAGGCTCCAGCAGCCGTCCTGGGGGAGGGGTGTTCCCCCACCCCTCGCTGGGGTCCACAGCCGGCAGATGAAGGTTAGCAACAGGGCCCTTCAGAGCCCAGAGCCCAGGCAGCGCCGCTGCCTGCGGATCCCTCCTCTCCCGCGGCTCCAGCCTCGCTGGCTGTGGCGCCCTGCCATCCAGCTCTGCTCAATGAGCCGCGGTTTCTGCCTACCACACTCTCCCCGGCCTCCTCCCACCACGCGCAGCCGGCCAGCACCCCGGCCTCTCCAGCTCTTGTCTCCTGTCCCCTTTCCACACACTTTCTGTCCTGTAATCCCTTCCAGGGCTGGGCCACGTCTGGGGGAAAGCAGCAGCAGGGTTCGTTAACAAGTATGGTGGGAAAAGCATCCTTTCCCAACGGCAAAGGCCGTCCCAGCTACACACAGCATCCCCAACCTCAAAAGGGACGAGGCCCCTGCACTGTCCTGGTCCACGGGGGTCAGTCCAGGCTCTGGCTCAACTGCCCCAGGTGGTCACACACCAGCTGCTCTGGTCACAAAAGCAGCCTTCCTCCATGAGACACACCTCCTTCCAGTGACCGCTGACCTCGCTGCTCCTAGGGGACGGCCTCGACCTTCCCAGGCTGACCTTCCCGCCCACCTTTCCACCAGGCTGGTCCCCGCCCCCTCCCCACGGCCCAGCCCCCCCTTCCTGTTTGACAACAGCCACTTCCCGCTTTTGCACAGGGCCACTTCCTGCCCGCCTGTGTGCTACTGCCATGGAGAGGCCCACCCCTGCCGGCCTTCAGCCCAGTTCCAACCACAACCCTCTGCAAGGTTTTCCCCCCTCAAGAGCAGAGGTGGCAACAGGAGCAGAAAGCAGAAGCAGCTGTTATCAGGGACCAGCTCCAGGCCCCGCCCAGCCGCACACCTAGGGCGGAGGGTCCCTGCCGGCCTGGCCTCTCCTGCCTTCTGCCCGAGCACTTCAAGGCTTGGTCCAGGGCTCCACAGAGGCAGGCGCCCTTCACAAAAAGGGCAGCAAAGCGTGATCAGGTGTGCCAAGGGGGGCCGAAAAGAGAGAGCAGGCAGTGAGGAGGCAGTCTGCAGCAAAAGGGAGTGCGGAGCCCGAGCACCATCTCTCCCCGCGGACCCCCGGGAGAGAAGCCCACTCCACGTGCACGTTCCTTCCCCCACAGGACCAGGGGCCAGGGAGGGCTGGCCACCGCTTCTCCAGCCCTGCAGGGACCTGCCCGCTGAT